GTAAGTGAAGCCAATCATATCGGGCTTTTGGAAGAACGACCAACTTCAGGTGGTCGAATCTTTCTTTCAAATCTCGCCAAAGGACAAGAGGATCTTTAACAGTAAGATATTCTGATTTTAATCCTTCATCTAAATGATGACGAAGAAAAATCATAGCTTTGGCACGGTCTTGGTTTGAGAATTCATTTTTTCCCACAATAGTATTACCAAGACCCATTGCCTCAAGATGGATTTCAACATCCAATACCCATGATAAATAATTTTTTCCAGAAATATCAAAAGGTACAAACTCTTGTTTTGTAAGATTAGCCATAAGAAATTGAAATAAGATTTTGACTTAGAAATTTACCTCAAAAGTCACTTGAAGAAATACGGGCAGAATTTCGGCAAAATCTTGTGCTTCACTTTTATTCAAAATAGCGCCTCCGTTTTCACCTTTTTGCTCAAAAGTAGAGCTTTCGTGCTGATAACGTGTTATAAGACTAATCAAATAAGCTACTATAATATCAAGTGAAATATTGGAGAAAGAAGTAGAAAAATGGAGAGTAATATTCTTATATTCCAATAAGATCCAAAGTCCTCATAAAGGGTCTCAATGTACCTCTATATATATGTACTACAAGATTAAAGGTACATAAATCCTATTAAACATCCACTACTACAATAATATGAAGAAACCTATGAAACGGTTTCTCCATTACATGAATGGATTTATGAATTGTAACTTCTATACATAATGTAGCCATAAAATCATGAATTAATCCCCTTGGGAATACTAAGAGACATCCACATTTCTTGTTATTTCATAACACAAGTTGTCAATTCTTGTTTCCCTTGTTTAATCTAGTTAATCCTTTTCTTACCAAAAAAAAAAAAAAGAAAAGAAAAAAGAGTTGTCAATTCTAAACTTCTAGAAAATGTACAATAAGACTTTTACACTAATGAGATGTATCTTCTAATGTACAGTAAATTTCAATCAATATGAGAATTGCCTAATCGTATGTGTTTGTATTAAGTATGTATTTTTTTAAATTCATCAATCCATAACTTTCCTTTTTTTTGGTTCTCTCCAAGAAGAACAAGACTTAAAAAAATCATTTTTACAACATTCAATAATTAAACGAAAAGAAAAATCTTTAGTTTTCAAAATATATGCTTTCCACAACATAAACATCGAAGTTCATCGTTACTTTTGGACTTTATTTTTTTTTTGGGTCATTATTGTGCTTCTAGAGACTTTCATAAAAATAGAAGAAGTAAACCCGGGAACATATTCGTATTGAGCAAAAAATATTATAATACTAACTCTACTTTGTACCCTCAAACTTATATCACTTTCCCATTTCATACTTTAAATTTCAATTTTAGATGTTTTACATCTTAAACTCTCAATTTAAAACACTTTACATACTAAAATCTCAAATTTATCTCATTTAAGTCTAATTAATAACAACATTAGCAAAATTAATGAAATGGAGGATCATACAAATCAATGATAATGTGCTGAAAATGATCAAAAAAGTAAAGGAATTGCAAAATTTAATGTACTTCTAAGAAAATACATAAGTTAGAATTGTTATATCATGAAAACAACTTTGGAATGAAAATACTTTTTAGCATTTTACATGAAGTTTTTAATGTTTATCGACTGATTTTGTCATTTTGAAACTTGAAATGGGGGGTAAATGTAATATCACAAACTTTAGATGGAGAAAGTGCAATTGTCAGATACCCGAGAGGAGGTTTCTAAAATGATCCTTTAATCTAATCATCTAAGCCCGTTGAACACTTTGCTAGACTTGATTCTAGGATTAGTACTTTTTCATCATGGCCCTTTCTTGACTTTGACAGTTCAAAATTTCCACATGACGTGTTTGTTGCTCAAATCGTTACAAATCAACCATAAACAAACGGACGTCTTGTTGCTCAAAAGAACAAAAAAATGGATGCTTTTGGATAGGAGATTATTTGAAAAATATTACTTAAAATAATAATGTAATCTTTTTTATGATGTAATAAATGTGAGATTAAAAAAAATTTGTTAAAATTGTGCTTATGATATTAGTTGAATAATTAATTATTTATTTTTGTAAATCATGCTAACCAAATGGACCTATTAAGCAATAGATAACCCAATCATTGACATCAAGTCGACCCAACCCATAATAAATAAAGGTAAATAAGAAAGGACTATCCATAAAGCTAAGAAAAAACAAATTTAGTTGAATAGATGTATAGACCTTGGGTGGCAATATTTTCAGAGCAATAATGTTCCTGTTAGAACAAAAGTTTTTAAAATGTCAAAATTACCCTCAATCAGTTAATTCCATATATTCTTCTAGATATTTTTTAGATCCATTAAGCACTAATTACTCCTCTTCTTTTCTCTCCAAATAAAAATTTTTCTACTCACTAACATTCATCTCTGTCTCTCTCTATCACACACATTATTTCATCAATTATTTTCATGATTTACTAAATTGTTCTTGACTTTAATTATTTCTCGTACACTAATTTTACATGCTCTTTTTAAAATTTTACTCGAAAGGTTCTTTTTTCAAACACAATGTAATTTAAGTCAAAATAAATAATAGTTTAACATGAAAATGATCCCAAAAAATAGCCTTATTTTCCTTTCAATATTCATGGGATATATAATGTAATGTCTTTTAAACTTACTTTCATCTAATTATTAGAGAATATGAATACTTGATAAAAGATAAAAGTCAAGATTTACATGAAAAGTATAAAAGAGAAAAAAGATGGTAAAGTTTTAATAGTATTAGTTGCTTGGAAGCATGATAAACAAGCATAATTCAAAGAAAAATGCATTTTTATTAAATTTTTCTATAGTGTAAGCAAAAAAAATGTATGTTGCATGTCAAAAAATGTTATGCTAAAGTGTTGAGTTACAATGATATCATACTAATAATTATTTTAAGCTGCAATTTGTTGGAGTTAAATGAAGTTCTATTTGCAAAAAAAAAAAAAAATCAATAAAAGTTTTAAAATTGAATAAAAAAGTAAGAGCACATAGAAATAAAAGATACAAGAAAGATTAAGACCAAAATTACATTATTTAATGATAAAATAATAGATCTATTAGTGTGTGAGTGAGAAAGAGAGAAATAAGAATAATAAGAAGAAGAGTGAGAGACCATAACAGAAAATACTTAATTATAGAGAGAAGAGAGGAGTGATTAATGCAAAATAGATCCTAATAAAATCAATGAACATATATAAAGTTGATTGATTGAGGATAACCTTGGTGTTTCAATAAAATACATTCTGACAGGAAGATAATTTTTCTGACAATAGTCCATTGACTTTAATCAATGATTGGCCTAAATCAATGTAAATTAATAAAAAATTGCTTAACTCCGAAACTTAGGATAAAAATGAAAAGGGATCATTTCAAAAATCTCTTCTAAGGTTTCTGACTATCTTATTGGTCTTTTTGCAGGTTTTAAAAATTATACTAATCTCCCTTGAGATTAATTATGTTGTAAAATTTAAGCCCAATCGATAATTAAAAAGTGATATTATAAGAAAGAAGATAATATGATTCCATCATTAACTCTGATCTACTATATTATTTAATTAATTTAAGCCCAATCGATAATATGATTTACCATTATTTGGTCAAATCATGGGTTCATTTGGTGATAATATGACACAACCTCAAGGAATGTTATTGTAATTTACATTTTTGTTTCTTTCTTTCAAAGGAAATATCAAGCAATCTATGGGTTCGTGTTGAGACTCTAAAAGCTACAGGTCTTATGTTCAATTCTCCTCTTTTTTGTCTTTATTTTTTAAATCTCACTCCTTCCTTGCATGATCAAGAAAAAAAAAAAAAGACTTCAAATTTTATAAAGAAGAAAAGTGAGAGTTCGAAAGCCGAACCGGAAATTCCATGATCCCTGCCTACTTGCTAAATTCGGTATTAGGGACATAATAAATCTTTCAAATGAAAGGAAATATGCAAATAAAGCTAGTAGTAATTGGGCCTGGAAAATGAGGTCAAGTGAAAGATGGGTCTAGGTTACTAAAGCTATGTATCCAGACCAAGCCCAGCCCAATTGCTAACTCTGTAGCATTTTCATCATCACATACTTTTGAGAGTTTATAAATAAGAAAATATCACAAAAACTAAAAATTTCGTGTTAGCGGACAATTTTAAGTGCCTTGTTTATTCAAATTTGTAGTGTTATCCTCCCAGTATAACTTTCTACTTGTACAGGGAAAAAAAATTATTGACATATTAAAGAAGAATAACAAGTATAGATTACATAAACAGGGAAAACATTTACATTAAAAAGGAATTTGCACCAACATCATGAATAGTGATTAAATATATAACAACTATCAGTCTACCGAAAATTTTAAAATTCGAGAGGGTTAGATTGAGTGATAAAATGGGAGGGATTGTAAATATAATAGGTTCTGCATTCAACACCTTCCGTTTATAAAAATTTAAAATTTAAAATTCGAAATTCAGTTACGAGCCAAGTTCAAAATTATCCTTTGCCTCAAAAAACGCCTCTCCTCCAACAAAAACATATTTAGTGCCTGTTTTGGGTTGAATCTTTAAAAAGGACTTGCGGCTACATTGCAAGTAAACTTAAATTTATGTAATGATTGATATGCTCACTAATATGATAGTTGATCACTAAAAAGTTGGATAATTAATAATTGCTAAGTATATTCATTTAGCTCATCTTCACAAGAAAATCTCCCCAATTTTTTAAGGCAATTTCTGTTTCAGAATGGACAAATACGCCAAAGCCAAATTACAATTTTGACTTGAATATTATTGTTCAACGATGTAAACAAAAATATGAAAATGTTATTCTTGACTTCTTTTTTTTTTTTTTCTTTTGTGATAAATTATAAGCTTTATTTCTTTGAACCAATAAGCATATTAAAGGCAATCCCTTAATCAACATACATAGCAAAATTAATGCAAATTTTTAATCACGCAAATTGCAGGAACTTCCTTAATTCAAACTATGAACTGGATTAGAAGTTGGAACTTTGAAGCCAATTTGTTTTAAATACTGAAGAAAACCAACCAACTTGTCATGAGGAGGAATTGTTTCCTTCACCACAGGGAGTCGATATAGAGCTTGCACCCATGAGAATACGGGTGGATTCTTCGCAGGATCTATAATCTTCACACCAGAAATATCATCTTGTGCCTTGAAGGCACCAAGGAGTGCAACCATCATAGCATCTAGCATCCCCAACTTTTCAGATTGGATATGATCTGGAATTCCCTCTGGAAAGTAGAGATCCTTCACACCATCTTCCAAAGTTCTGAGTTTCTCGTGCACTTCTGCAAGGGCTTTCCCCACTTCTTCCTTGTTAGCATTGAAAAGTTGGGCTATGCTGTCTTGCACCTGCACTTATAGACGTATATGATCCACATATTTCTATGAGCAAGAGGAAAATATATTGAAATGGAACGATGCATCAACACCTGTTGGATGTAAGCAGCCCAAAAACGAACTTTGGCTCTTAGATATGACTCCTTAGGCAGGAATTGAGGTTCATTTGGCCAGGTTTCATCAATGTATTCAAGAATAACTAGTGATTCACACACTGGCTTTCCATTATGGACAAGGATAGGGACCTTCTTGTGAACTGGATTGTATTTCAGTAGCAAAGGGCTCTTGTTCCTCAAATCTTCTTCAACATAGTCAAAGGGTATGCCTTTGATTTTCAAAGCCAATTCTACTCTTTTCACATAAGCGCTTGACCACATTCCGTGTAAAACTACTTTGCTTTCCTCACCCATCTTTCTTTATCTAATGCTTTGGCCTTGGATCTTAATGTTTCTAGTTACTATATTGTGGCTTAATCTAGGGATAATTTAAGAAACCTTCCCTGAGGTTTGTAACTGTATCAATTGGTACCCCTAAATTTTAAAAATAACACCGACTTGCCTTTTCTCCACTTTTTGTATCTTTATCAACCCAATTCAAAATGTATTATTGAGAAACTTATTTCGGAGAGAGAAGATGTTTCATACCAAATTGCCCTTGCATTGTCCTACTTTTTTTTTCCAAAATTCAGAGTATATTATTAAAAGCTTGAAAATAAAGACATATAGTGTGAAGACGTAATTCTGATAGGATAGAATATACCAGTAAGTATTTTTAAGGTACAAAATATTAATTTTTAAAAGAATATTTAAGGTGTTTCAAGTCAACAAAAATTATTTCTTTTATTGTAAGGTATTTTTGTTAATTTGAGTAGTTTTATAAATTTTAAAAATTATTGGAAAATTTTAATTTTGCTATATAGATTGATGACTTGAAGATCAGAAAAAAAAAAACAAAATATCTAAAATTATGTTTACAAAGCCATTTGAGGTGCTTTTAGAGACAAAAATGTTATTTTTATTGCAAATATTTTTGGATGAATTTAAGGATTTTATAAATTATTTATAATTTTTTGACTATTTTAGCTTTTTATCAAATTGATGGCTTGAAAACAAAAAATGATAAAAATATTTTAAAAATAATTAGAAACTTATTTGAGGCGCTTTCGAGGTGTACAAAAGTTATTTTTTGAATTGCAACAAATTTTGGGTGACTTTTATAAGTTATCTAAATTATTTAGAACTTTTTATTTTTTTAAAAATTTTGCATTTCTTGTCCAAATCGATGACGTCAAACACTGCAAAAGGTCTTTTAATTTTGTTAATATGTTGTAATTCTTAAGGAATTAACTTGATTTGTTATGAAAACTAAAGGTCCATAAGAAAAGAGTAATTTTGAAATGGAAGTGTCTCGTCTCGCCCAAAATGAGTTTTTAAATCATATTTTTTTTTTTGAAATGGAGCGATAAATTTACAAAATATTGAAAATAAGGGAGTAGGTGATATTTTTCAAAGTTTGAAGGTACCAAGTAATATTATTACAAATCTCAAAGGAGATTTCTAAAATTATCCCTTTAGTCTCTTTCCAGTAAGATTCTCCACTCTGTCTCAGAAAAAGGAAGAGAGGAAAATGACTAATTAGAAGAGGCAGTTGTAATGCCCAAGAATCAGCTGACTAAACCAGTCGTAAAATACATTAAGTGATCAACAGTTGGTAAAACACACAAATCAAAGATCAAGAGTGAACAGACTAAAGCATTATTAAATGTCTTTGCTATCGTTGGGGATTGGGAAGTTTTAAATCAAAATAAATTAGTTCTCAAAAAAACATGCCAAATATTTACTACTCCCTTCGTCCCACTTTGATAGTTTTGATTTTTTTTTTTACACAGTTTAAGAAAAAGTAATTAACTTTGTTGGAACAATCAATTTAGGTAGCTATTTTTCTAAAATACCCTCACATTAATTATAGTACAACTTTATGGGAACTTGAATTGATGGTAAAAAAAAAAAGAATCAACTCTCATTAAATGGGGTAGGTTTATAGTAACAACAACTTACATTGAATAAGGGTATTTTAGAAAAATTAAAATACAACTACATTCTTCAATTGGAAAGTGGACTACAATTTGGGACAGGCGAAAAAGGAAAACATGACTATTAAAGTGGGACGGAGGGAGTAATTCCAATTACATTCCTTAAAACAAATTATATTCCCTTTAGAGCATTTCTAGTGCAATGTAGGCTTCCAATTTCCCAGCTTGAAATAAACCACTTGCGGAGCTTTCAGTTGTTGCGTGCTTGGCCTATTATATCACCCTAATTATCTTTTTTTGCTTAACGTACTGCAATTATATCTCTTTTCTTGAAAGCAAAAATGTGTTTTGCCCTCAAGAAAAAAGATAAACATATTCACGGAGTACAACCGAAGGCCAACGACCGATATCAAGAAGTCGTGCTTTTTTTTATTTCCAATTTTTCAAGCATTTGCCCTTAATTATTTAAAAAGATTGATCCATGCGACTTTGTGTGCTTTAAAAACCTATTTCCGATTGTCGATGAGGTCTTGATCTATTGAATAAACTTGAGATCCTAATGAATTAGAAACCTTAACTTCAAGTCCCTCTTTTTACTTCTTTGCATCTTAAGTCCTATTCCTATCCCTACCTGCTAAAAAGTTACGGCAAAAGAAACAATTTCATTATAGGGAAATCCTACTCTAAACAATATACAACTACTTCGATAAATATAACATAAAAGATGGTTCACGTCCTGATTTTTAAGAGTTCCTATATTTGTATCTATGGTTTATACATATCGTGTTTTTCAAGTTGATTAGTGTACGAGTACTTTTCATCATATATACAATTTGTTATTAAGTTTAATTTAATTTTGGTCCTCCAAAGTGAATCAAAATCTCAATTTGATCCCTTAAACTGAAATGTCCGAATTTGGCCCTTCATAGAAGCAAAATATCTCAATTTGATCCCTCAAACTGAAAAATTTCCATCTTGGTCTTCATAAAAAATTTTAAATTTGGCCCCTAAATTCAAAAAGCCTCAACTTGGTCCTTCAAACCAAGAAAGTTGTTCCAAATTGGTTCTCCAAAACTAATTTGTAAAAGGCACCATCAATTTATTGATTATAAACAAAATTAAATTAAACTACAAAAAATTACACAGTTGTTTTGTTGTTCTACAAGTCTAAGAAACGTTTGCACCCCTATGTTTTTGGATTGTAAAGTGTGATCTTTTGCAAGTTACTTGTGATTTGGATGTAGAATGATTTAGAGGTTTCGTCAAGGGAAAATAAAGAAAATAAAGTACGCAAAAATTTAACTTAGCCAAAAAAAGGCACCTTTCATTGAAATGGTTAAAGTAGAAAAGTCTCTGCTGGACTGATGAAGAAATCTTCCTAATTTTATGTGTAGATTGGTTCTTTCACAGTTATTCAACCATTAATATAATAAGTTTGGAGGACAAAATTAGAACATTTTCCATTATTATGTTGTAATAATTTCTTTCCATTATTATGTTGTAATAATTTCTTTAACATCGTACTACTCCTTCAATAACATTTTTATGATTGATGCAACAACAGATCATTATAAACCATACCAGAAATAGATTACCAAAATGAGAAGAAATCACCAGAACAAAATATAAATTATTAACAAAAATCTGATCAACATACTAATAAATGTTCATAATATAGCAAAATACTACAATAAATTCTAGTGGTTAAGGCTGAGAACCCATGAACTAGAGGTCCCTACTTCCTAAATCACAACCCTTTCCTTCTGAAAAAATTAAAATAAAAGGACTATAATAAATTTATGGGCCTAAGGATGCACCCAAAATTTTAGCCCTGGGAAGCAAAAACAGGCTCAATGGAATTAAAGAAAAATTGGTACTTGATATAGGTTTAACATAGCTAGGAAAATTGGTGTTTGATCAGATAGACAAAAGTTACTTGTTGTGGGATTGGTTTTTAACTAAAGATTTGACTAACAGGTGTCCAATTAGAACTCGTTATGAGAGAAGTCACAAATGTTAGCTTTTTTAGAAAAATATAATTAATGTGCTAAAAAAGGGCTTTCCTTAAACATAATCATTTAACTAGATACTCTACTTGTATGGTATAGAATTTCCTTAGTTGATGATATTTTAAAGTTACATTATTGACTAATTATAACTAATACAAGGAAACTAAACTATGTTGGATAATCTAATTCAACACTTTAACTTAATGAATTTAGTTCTTAACATGTTTAGATGTGTTTTATAATAAAAAATAGAACATCTAAATTAATTAAGTAGCATTAAATTTGCTAAGCGAAACTTTAAAAAATAAGTGATAAACTATTCACTTATCACTTAAACCTTGTTTGATAACTCAATTCAACACTTAAACATAATGGATTCAGTTCATAACATGTTCAGATGGATTTGATAACTAAAAATTAAACATCTGAATAATTAAATGGCACTAAATTTTTTATGTAAAATTTGCTCCCAAAAATAACTGATGAATTATTTACTTATCATTTAATGAGATATACACTTAAATTTATCAATTTAGGACTTAGTAATTCAATAATTTAATGGATTCAGATTTCAAATTTTAAATTTTAGATTTTAATTTTATCAAACACACCTTTAATAAGATATACACTCGAAATCCCAAAGACATTAGTCTCTAACTACAAAAGTAAATGTTTGAGCTCGAGAAGCTTCCGCCCCAGTAGGTCCGTAAAACTCGCTAGAATAGGTAGCATTATTGTACCAGGCAAAACAAGAAGCAACGAAATCAAAGACAGATGAGACCCCTAAACTATAAGATAAGTAAGTTTCTCTGGAACTAGGGTTGCAAACGAGCCGAGTCGAGTCGAACTTTGAGCTAATCGAGCCGAGTTTCGACTAAATTTTACCGAGCTCGAGCTCGACGAGCCGGCAATTTTCGAGCTCGAGCTCGAAAAAAAATAAAAAATAAATATTTTATTTTTAAAAAAATAAATAAAATAATATTTTTTCTGAATAAATAATAAAATATTAAGGATATACACGTAATTTTACTATAAAAATAAAAAATAAAAAATCTATATATAATATACGTAATTTCATTATTAAATAAAATAAAAAAAAAATATATAGATATACTCAAACTCGCGAGCCGAGCTTAATATTCTTAGCTCGAGTTCGAGCTCGATTTCGATTAATATCGAGCACGACTCGAGCTTGACTCGAGTCGCTCGTGAGGGGCTCAATTCGTTTGCAGCCCTATCTGGACCATACAAGCGTGCGCCAAAGAAGGGTTTAGTTAAGATACGCTAACGAAGGGCCCAGTTAAGATATGCTAAATTTCACCAATTATACAAGTCAAATCTAACCATACATGTCCACTGATTAGATCTT